ATTCACTGCTCTCAAAGTTAACCCAACTATGATGACTTCCGCTGCTGAGAAACCCGGCAATGTGAAAAAGGTTTATTACACAAAAGATACAGCCACAACATCCCTGATGTAAAAAATAAAGAAAAAAAGGAGAGAACTGGGAGGATGTGTGTGTAAGTCAGGTTCTGTCTACATTACTGTTCAAACGTTTGGGGTCTGTAAGATACAGCATTTTAATGTTTTTACAAAAGTTCTGTTACGCTCACCAAGAGTGATTTAAGATAATTTAACAGTACTATTAAATGATTAGTGTTTTTGAAGATTAACTTTAAGTAATCATTACATGTACAGTGGGGAAAATATTTATTTGATCCCCTGCTGATTTGGTAAGTTTGCCCACTTACAAAAAAAATTAAGGGTTTGTAATTTTTATGGTAGGTTTATTTTAACGTATAGAGACAGAATACAAATCAAAAAATCCAGAAAAAACACATTATATAAAGGTTAGAAATTGATTTGCATTTCAGTGAGTGAAATAAATATTTGATCCCCAAGCAAAACATGACTTAGTACTTGGTGCAGAAACCCTTGTTGGCAAGCACAGAGGTAAGACGTTTTTTTGTAGTTGGTCACCAGGTTTGCACACATCTCAGGAGGGATTTTGGTCCACTCCTCTTTACAGATCTTCTCTAAATCCTTAATGTTTCTTGGCTGCCATTTGGAAACTCGAAGTTTCAGCTCCCTCCACAGATTTTCTAAAGGATTGAGATCTGGAGACTGACTAGGCCACTCCATGACCTTAATGTGCTTCTTCGGCGAGTCGAGTTAATGCCAAAGAGCTCAATTTTGGTCTCATCTGACCACAGCACTGTCTCCCAAGCCTTCTCTGAATCATTTAGATGTTTATTGGAAAACTTTAAACGGGCCTGTACATGTGCATTCTTGAGCAGGGGGACCTTGCGGGCACTGCAGTGTGTTACCAATGGTTTGCTTGGTGACTGTGGTCCCAAGATCATTAACAAGCTCCTCCCATGTTGTTCTGGGCTGATCCCTCACCTTTCTCATGATCATTCTTACCCCATGAGGCGAGATCTTGCACGGAGCTCCAGACCAAGGCCGATTGATGGTTATTTTGTATTTCTTCCATTTCTGAATAATCACACCAACAGTTGTCTCCTTCTCCCCAAGCTTCTTGCTGATGGTCTTGTAGCCCATTCCAGCCTTGTGCAGATCTACAATCGTGTCTCTGACATCCTTTGACAGCTCTTTGGTCTTGCCCATGGTGGTGGGAGAGGTTGGAATGGAAGATACAGCTTGTGTGGACAGGTGTCTTTTATAGTGGCAGGACTAATCTGTGTTCCATATGGGCACATAACCAATCTGCGGGAGCCAGAATTCTTGCTGGTTGGTAGGGGATCAAATACTTAATTCACTCACTGAAATGCAAATCAATCTCTAACCTTTATATAATGCAGGTTTTTTCTGGATTTTTTGGTTGGTATTCTGTCTCTATCCATTAAAATAAAGCTACCATAAAAATGACAGACCCTTCATTTCTTTGTAAGTGAGCAAACATACAAAATCAGCAGGGGATCAAATAAATGTTTTCCCCACTGTACATGACATGAAGAAAAAATGTATATACTTGCCACAAGTTAAGAATTTTATATCAAAAGGCATTAATTTTTGGTAATGTTTTGTTCATGATTTTGTTTTAAAGGGGTCATATGATGCTATTTTAAAGATCATTATTTTGTGTATTTGGTGTAACAGAATATGTTGACATGCTTTAATGTTCAAAAAACACATTATTTTTCAAATACTGTACATTATTGTAGGTCCTCTATACCCCGCCTCTGTCAAACACGTCGTTTTCAACAAAGCCCCCTCCTTTGACAAGCGCTGTCTGCTCTGATTGGCCAGCTGACCCAGTGCATTGTGATTGGCCGAACACCACAAGCACGCGTCAGAAATGTAACGCCCCTTACCATAATCGCGAGCGCCAGCTTTCAAAGTAAATATCAAGACAAATAATGTCACTAGTTTTACCATCAGTTCAAGCCCGAAAGGGCAACAGAGTTGCGTGACGGACGCGGTGATAATGCAGTGCACCAAGAGCTTGTAACACTCCAAAGAGAAAGGAAAACTTGAAATCGCATCATATGACCCCTTTAAATTATTGCAACATAATTTGCTCCCACATAACCGTGGTCACATTGTACTAATTCGGCCACTTTTTTGTTTCAATGTTTTAAAACTTTAAAACGTTGTACTTCCCTTGTTTTAGTTCAATCATGGCCATGTTGTAATAATTTGTTCCCTTTTTTTTTTTAAACAAATTAATAAGTCGTAGGAACCCATTCTTAATTCACTGTCCCAATATATTCTTCTTTTCCCCTGCATGTCATTTGCAGGACTCTGTATAAAGTAAATGTAAAAATAGATCAAATGAGCTGCACGTGCACAGTTAAATATTCAATATTTATATTGATAAAAACAAACAAACAGACATATTGTACACACCCCTTGAAAAAGTTAAAGTGAGGGTTATGTTCAGGGTATTAATTGAGTGTAAATATCATTATTAGCTCAGTACATAAACAATAGAAGTCAATGGAATGATCCCATTGTGACAGAAAAACATATGTGCGTGTGGATGTGTCCGAGGAGGGCCTTAGGAAACACAAAGGACTGAGATCATAAGTGTGACCCTTGCATTGGATTCTTTCAACCTCTGATTTATCAAAGCAATCAATCCATGTTAATATCATTACAGAATACACGGGGGACTGGAGGACTTCACACTTTGAATGGCCATCAGGTGAACACTGATTACCAGATCACCGTCAAAGGTGTGAGGGGAAAAAGAGCAGCGGGAAGATTTGACAGCCAGATCAATGATTTCCACCAAACTCCTTTGCATTCAGCTGTTGATCCAACCAACATTTTGATTGCTCACTCAAAAACTCTGACAAGTCTAGTGTAACAAAGCAAAACAACTCCCTTCAATATATGCTACATTCCTGATATACAGCAACATATGACTAGAAACCTTCTACCAGTATTTAATTGACATCAAAGTCAAACTACTGAATTATGTACTTCACCAAGGAGAGGTTTGTGTTCTTAGCCTGGTTGCTGGCAGTTTTTATTCTTATTTTGTTGCACTGAAGGGAGTTGGGGTGTGTGTGACACTTTCCTGCTGCGTCAGGGTTAAAAAGCTAAAAAGCAAGAGGAGACCTCACCATTATCAGATCTTGTAAGCTCCCCTCCCCCATCCCACCACATCAACCACCATTTCAGGTTTTAAAGGGCCAGGAGGTCCCATGAGAACTGACTGCTTTTTAAAATGGTACAAAGATGGATAAAACCTTCCACATTATACTGCACACCCTGAAAAAATAACTATGTAAAGGTAAAGCGAACTTCAAAAGCTGAGTTACACTACTGTTTAAAAGGCTGGGATTTATAAGATTTTTTTAATGTTTTTGAAAAAAGTCTCTTATGCTCACCAAGGCTGCATATATTTGATCATAATTACTGTAAAATCAGTAATACTGTGAAATATAATTATAATTTAAAATAATGGTTTTCTATTTTAATATATTTTAAAATTATTCCTGATGGCAAAACAGCAGTCATTACTCCAGTCTTTAGTGTCACTTGATCCTTTAGAAATCTTTCTAACGTGCTGATTTTCTGCTCAAGAAACATTTATTATTATTATCAATGTTAAAGAAAGGTTGTTCTGCGTAATATTTACCATACTTTTTTTTCAGGAATCTTTGATGAATAGAAAGTTCAAGAGAACAGCATCATTTGAAATAGAAATTTTCTGTACCATTATAAATGTCTTTGCTATCACTTTTGATCAATTCAATACATCCGTGCTGAATAACAGCATTAATTTCTTTCAGAAATTATGTACTTACCAAACTTTCGAATGACAGTCTATGTCTCTATAGTATTTTAAAGGGGTTCCTTCCTACTGTGAATTGTAATCCTGTTACCATTGCATTGAAGTAAAATTATGCAACTTGATAAGAGTCTGTTGTGGAAGGGACCAAAGCTCCACAACTACAAAATAAATCCTCACAGTTTACTCAACTTAATCTAGCCTAAGAACATGTACAGCATTTTAAAACTCTAGGATTTAGGGAGATTTGTGTAAGACTGGTTTCTGTTTCAAACAACAGAAGTTTTTCCGTTCATGACGTTCAAACCCAAAGTCATTGTGATCAATGCATCAAAGTAACCTCAATGATCAAGAATGGAGGGGGACACTACCTAAACAAAGAGCATTACAAATCTAATAAGATGTCATTGTGAGATGTCATTAAAAGTCTAATAAGATGACATTTCACAAATAACTACAAAGAAACTGCAAGTAACACAATTTAAATGTAAAATTTTGAAATAGAAAGAGTGAAATATAATTTTCTTGTAAAACATTTTTTCTCATCATCTCAATCATCTTTGTCGTGATTATGCATGTTGCGGTTTGTGCAACTCAAGATTTATAAGACAGAGATTTTAGAGCTTGTTACTTTATGGAATCACAGCAGTGAGTACAAGTAGCATGTACAGCACACACAATCATTTGATATACTGTACACTGTTATATAATACTATCAATATTCTGACATTCAAGCCATATTCACTGGACATCGTGTATGCTATAGTATACCAATCCCCTAATTCCCAAGAATATGCATATAATGTGAGGGAAATGTTCTCACACCAACTGGGCACTGTCATGCAGTAAATACAATCAAATTCAAATCAATTGTGCAAATCTGGAAAAGGCTATTCAATAGCCTACCTTTTAACCTTTAATAGAATCCAGATAAACAAAGCTGACCCAGAACAAAAATAATAGATATGCCACCATCTCATAATTGTAATCAATATTCTGCTTCACACCACAGCACAGAGGTATATTTCAGTGGGTTAATCTCATGGAGCAGACCTCTTCTATCACAATATGCTAGTAAAGGCTGAAATAAACATGCATCACTTACATAGTCATGGAAGGCCTTAGCTTCACTGGAGTGATCACATGTGTCCCTTCTCTCAGGTGCTGCACAGTACAGGTCCCAAAACACACTGTGTAATGAGAGCATTGTTTGTAATGAGAAAATATTGCAATGTCACAATAGTTGGACTTGCTGATCATAACATTAATAAGGAAGCACGTTAAAGCAACAAAGATGAAAATTTGCTGAACATTTACTCACTTTCAAGCCATTCAAGATGTAGATGCATTTGTTTTTTTATCGGAACAGATTTGGAGAAATGTAGTTTTATCACTTGCTCACTATTGGTCCTCTGCAGTGAATGGGTGTCGTCAGAATGAGAGTTCAAACAGCTGATAAAAACATCACAATAGTCCCCAAGTAATGTACAGCAAGTCATCCACAAGCTGTGTGATTGTAATAAACAAATCCATCATTAAGACATTTCAACTTTAAACCATTGCTTCTGGCCAAAATATGAGTCCATAATCCATAATAATGCTTCCTCCAGTGAAAAAGACCATCCGCTGTTGTCCTTTCACATCACAATTCGATGACATATTTGTCTAGAAATGTATTGGACTGTTTTCACTTGGAAACAGTGCTGTGTACGGTACTGTGTATATTTCTCTCCTGATTCAGATGAGATGACTTTATCAGTGGAGAAAGCAATATTATGCACTTGTATGTGAGCCGGAAGCAACAGTTTGAAGTTAAAAACATTTTAATAATAGATTTGTTTCCTACAAATACACAGCTTTTCACTTCACAAGACATTAATTGATGGACTGGAGTTTGTGGATTGTGTTTGGACCCTCATTCTGACGGCACCCATTCACTGCATTTGCAAGGTGTAATGTACATTTAAAAACATCTACATTTTAAGTGGCCTGAGGGTAATTCAATTTTTAACTAATTTTCATTTCTGGGTGAACTACTTCCTTTAAGACTATACGGGGTATGTGTTGAAATGATCTTTTTATGCTTAGGTTTTCAGAGAACTCAAATATTAACAGTCAAATCATAAAAGTAGTAATTTTGAAATTAAAATGATTTTACCTTTAGATTTTTTTTCTTTTTTTCAGAAATGTCACTGCCTGCTATCCATTCCATTAAATTACTCTAAGATTAAATTTCATAACATATTGTAAAGATTCCAATTACTGCAAAATACTGATCAACTACTGAATGCAGATAATACACACCACCACCAAGAGTGCAGAAAGCCTGGTGGTTCACCAAGGGTTATGTTCTTCTCCCATCTTATCTAAACATAATAAAAACAGACAACAGAAAACTTTAATACACACAGTCAATGCATAACAAGATTAGACATTGTACATGATCATGCACACATGCTCTTAAGAATAAAGATACATATGCACATACACACCTCTGATAAAAACGTCTGTGCAGATTTCTGAGCTCCCACGTGTAACAAATATTCATAGACGTACAATGCCAACCTGTCCAATCAAAACAGATGCTTTACAATAAATAGATGCCATCCAATAAAACTCTCTGGTCTGTTTCCATATAGTCTTATTCTTGTCCTAAAAAATTAACATTGCAGTTGCCATTCTACAACGACTGCCTGCATCTATATACTGTATTTCCAGAACAACAATCGATATCACCATGAACATTTGCAAATAATAATGCTGTGACATTCCACAAACCACCACCACCAATTCAATGCGAATAAAATTTTTTTTTTTATCAGTTTCCACTATAACATTACTGGAATGTCTCGAACAAGATCACATGTTATAGGAGACAACTTAACTTAACGCGACATCAGCTGTGCGTGTAAATAAGTGAGTAAAGAGAGAGCAGAGCTTACTTTTCCCGAGCTTGCCCGTCTGATGGCACCGCGGTCCCTTTACCTTTCGCGAACATGACTTGCGCTGAATATAAACGCGTCTGCCAGTTTGACTGCGATGTTTCCTTATGCTCCAGCTGTCACCGTGTAGCCCGCCTCTGACCCCATCCGCTTCAACCGACCCTGCCACAGCGACATCATGAACTATGGGCGGGGATCTGTGGTATATTATTGACAGCTTTATAGACCAATGAACATGTTCGACGTGACCTCACGATCCCCCATATCTGCATAAAAGTTAAAACAATAAAGTAAGGCTCTCCGAAATCAACGGATAATTAATTGTCAAGTTGGGTGTTATGAGAAATTGTGGAGAACTTAATTCTTTAATAATAATAATAATAAACACAATCTATTTATTGTATCTTTCTTTTATAGGAGCACGGGTGGTTTATGTTTGTCATATATATATATATATATATATAGGCTATACA